GGCCAGCTCAGCAAAACCAAGGCTAATTTATCATCGCCGTTATGATGTCCACCCCGAGCATTACACCACTAGGAAATTAAAGTAAGAATCTTCCCCTGATTTTGCAGTTGTACAGATAGGATCGCTCAGCATCCTCTGGAAGGGGAGTCCGGGATCATGAGAACCTTCACACTGCTCTCCCTGCCACCGGGGTCCCTGGGTCCACCTGCAGCCTGGGGCGCTGGTCATGTCCCTGTAAAATAGTCCTTGGCAGGCAGGCCATGTAAGACCCAGTCTCTGCTCCACCAGACCCACGTCCCACCCCACCACAAGCAGCCACTTCCTTCAGCCCTACAGAGACCCTGCCCTGCCCCTCAAGTGCCGCTGCCCTTCACAATGCACGTGCTTGTCTTGGGTGCCCTTCCTGCACCTGCCTACCTGATGGACCCTGCTCATCTCTCTTCCTGGCTCGACAGAGCCGGGCTTCTTTCTTCTGTCCCTCCCCTAATATGATGGGCTCCTTGATGGTGGCATTGTGCCTAGTTCATATCTGAGCACAAGGCCAACACTCAGTCAGTGCAAAGTAAATGCTTGCCTGAAACTCACATCAAATTATCAGTAAGGCCATCGCCCAGCACTTGGTCCAGACCCACTAGTCCTTGTCCCTGTCACTCAAGACAGGACTGGCAGCATTTCTGGCCTGCTTTGATTAGGAAAAACCCCAACCTGGAGGTGTTCTGGTCTAACAGGTTGAGCCCCAGGGCCATCCCAAGAAGCAAGAGACTTTTTGAATGGAATGCAAAAGTGGGAAGCAATAGGAAGCTTAGATGTGAAATATCCCAACTTTTCCCCAGTGTGTCTGTTACAGACAGTCAGCTAGCCAGGTTCACTAGACACAGGGGTTTTTTCCTCCCCTCGGAACAAATGGATGGAGAACCTGGTTTTAAAATTCCTGGACCCTGGAATACATTTCTATCTGTGTCAAAGTCTACCCTCCGCCGCCTCAGCAGAGTTTAAAATCCTAGCTAATAGGTTAACAACTGTTTTTCTTCAGCTTCAAATGAAGAATATCAGAAGGTTGGGGGAATATGCAGCTCTCCAATTTGTACGGACTGCACACAGCTCCCCGCAATGTGTGTTTGACAGGCCTGACATTTTGTACCGCTGTGAGATGGGAAAACGTGTGACATTTTTATTCATGGTGGCGTACGCCCTTGTAATGATCAGCTCTGGTCGATGTGCTTACCGCAGCAGCCCCAGAGCCCTCGGAGAACAAACAGGAACCCAAGGTGCCAGCAGTTCGACTGCCTTATTAAACACCGCCAGGATCCTAACGAAGACCAACTGCTGGAAAATCTCACTGTCAAATCCTCAAGGACACTGTCAGCGCACAGCTAACTGCATATATTTTTCATTTAAAATACTGAAATCTAGCATTGTGCCATTACAACCAAGGGGAGGGGCGCCCACTCCAGTGGCCATTCTGTCAGCTGCCTCTTTGGAGCTCCAGATGTTACAGCCAGATGCCCAGTGGGGTTCAGAGCGCAGAAAGGGGCGGCGGAGACAGGGAACCGACTTTCTGAAAATGCAGCCCTGCCTTTAGGGTGAAAGGCTGAAAGTTACGGGGCTCTGGTGAGAGTCACTGGGAAAGTCAACTCACTGCTTCCCTGCGTAAGCCAAAGCAAATCTGCATCATTAGAAAATCTGCCCCAGCCCCAGCCCCAGCCCCAGCCCCCAATCATCCTGTAGGTGCAGCCCATTACATCTGCAACGTGTGCTAATCAGCCTTCTGCTTGGCGGCAGACTTAAGACATCTGTAGGAACACACGGCCACGGTGAGCTTCACACCTTGGCAGGAAAGCTGTGTGTGAGGGCGCCCACCTGCAAGCTCACCACTTGCCTCAACTCAAAGGCCTCAAGGTCAGTGGGCAGGAGGACCCCCTTCCCTTCGGCGGTCATTTCCAATGCTGATGCGCACGGATGGATGGAAGCCAATCACTTGGCAGGCGCTCCGAGCTTCTCGTGGTTGTTATACTAGGTGATTTGGTTACGGCTGCATACACTAACGTACTGATATATTTATTTTGTAAATGTGCATGAGTTATACAGTGCTTCTATTTCCATAGTCTAGCCCTGGTGCACCAAGACAGACTCTGCTGTTTATTTATGGGGTCATTGGCTTAATAGGCCTAACGATGCCTGTGTGTGGTTCTTGCAGGTTTGCAACAACGTAAGTGGTTGGCTCAACAACTGGATGTTCTCCATCCATCATGGGCAGAGGCTTGCATTTTAAGGGGCCGCCTGTAAAGCTGGTTTAGCATAACACTGTACATCATCCTTGGCGGAACTGACCTGGGATGCTGTAGAGCTGCCAACCCGGACACTAGGAGCCATAAGATTGCACACCCTGGGATGGGGGCAAGGGGTGGAGTAGGCTCTGGGTACCCTGGTTACAGAACTCAGAACAGAATATAGAAAGAAAGGTGGTGCCCAGCTAGTGTGGCTCAGTGGATGAGTGTCAACCTATGAACCAGGAGGTCATGGTTCGATTCCCTGTCAGGGCACATTTTTGAGTTGTAGGCTCGATCCCCAATAGCGGGTGTGCAGAGGCAGCCAATCAATGAGTCTCTCTCATCGTTGATGTTTCTGTCTCTCTCTACATCTCTCTTCCTCTCTGAATTCAATAAAAACATACTTTTTAAAAAAAGAAAGCTGGCGGGCAGATAGCCCTGGGGCAAAAGCAGGTCCATGAGGGTCACTATACCCAGTTTCCTCCAAGCTGGCCACTCTGCCCCTCAGCAGAGCCTTTCACCCTGGCTGCAGAGGGAGGTGTCCACTGGCCCTGTGCACCCCGGTGGACATTCCCTCGTCACGGGCTGCACCTCAGACCTCATTAGAGCAAGTTGGCTGAGGAGGAGAAATGCAGCCAGTGTCCGCCTCGCCCATGCAGAGCACACTTCCACAGCTGCCACGGAGGGCATCGCAGGCCACCAAGGTCTGTGCGTTTGGTCTCCTGGGTCTGTCTTCAGTCTTTCCCTCACTTTCACCCCCATAAGCAGCGTCCTAGGTCAGGCCCCCACTAGCTCTTGCCTGAACGTTAGCAGCATCATTAATGGTCTTGCTGCCTCACCTACTTCCACCCCTTCCCAAGGGTGGTGGCTCCAGAGGAAGTGTTCCCAAATGTCATTCCCTCAGAAATCATCCCTCACTGGCTCCTTGACACCCACATGTCTCAAGCTCCCCCAGGACCTAGCCATTGCCCACCTCTGCAGTTCAGCCCCTGGGCCGCACCAGCTGCCTCCCAGCCTCTTGCTTTTCCACACTAGTCTGAAGAGTCAGACTGTCCTATACTTCACACTTGCCATTTTCTTTACCTGGGATGCCTCCTCTGGCTCCACCTGATAAACAACTCATCTTTCAAGATTCAGCAGAAATGTCACCTCCTCTGAGAAGCCTGCCCTGGTTCCTCCAGACAGCCTTAGGGCACCTCTCCAGCCAATACATTTATGTCCATTAGTCTTTCCCTTTCTATATGATTTCTCAACTGTATGCCAGACAACGAGTGCCATGAAGGCAGGACCACATCACATTCCTCTGTGATCCTGGGGCCTCATTACATGTTGAATAAGTGAAGGAAGGAATTAATGAGAGCATAAAAGAATAGCTCAGAGTTCTGCCTGGTTAAAACGCCAAGACTTCAGGAGTTTTAACCACAAAGATAGAGGGCAGCAGGGGAAGAATTCTTAGTGGCCTCATGGTTTGGGCAATGGAAGGTGTTTGGGAGACAGCCCTGGGGCCAAGGCTTCCCTCTCCCTCCTAGTCTCTGCAGAAAACAGTCCCCTGGTCAGCACACCTGAAAGTCATGTCTCCTGGCTTCTCAAGGCACCATCTCACCAAGGCGGGACCTCCTGTCCCTTTGGAACTATTCACTGTCACCCTCTCCAGGAGGTGCACACAGGCACCTGCCTAGAAGGGGCTTGGGACAGGGCATCCCTGGGAGGGCCAGGAGGTGGCTGGAACCATGGCACCATGTGGCTGAAGGGCAGCAGCATCACAGAAACGCAGTTGAAAGGGCTTACAGACAATGTGAATGCCCATCACACTCTGCATTCTAAGTGGGATATAAGCAACAATCCCTTGGGGCAAGTCTCTTTTATATATTCTCTTTTCATACGTTACTACATTTAAAAATCCTTTGCAGTATAAACAAAATGGGATACAATATTCTGGGCAACACGGAACTAAGCGGATCGACAATAAAATTAACCCAGTAGAAACAATGACCTAAGTTAGGGTCAGGGTCAGTGCAATCTCAGATCAAGTGTGCAGGACTCTGGCCGGCAGCCTTTGCTGCCAGGGAGCCGCTATCACTGCCCAGCTGTCCCAGGTCAGAAGCAGAATCCATCTTACCATTGGGGATGGAGGGGTGAGGGTGGGGTTGGCAGTGGGGTTAGGGGAAGGCCCTTGACTCTATGGAATAGTGGGGCAGTCAGAGTCCCAGCTGCACCAGTCTGGGGAAGAGAATGCAGTGAGAAAGGAGACCCTGCTGAGAATACTGCTCAGCCCCCAGCAGGCACTCAGAAGGGCAGCATGGATGCCGCTCTCAAACTGCACCCCCCGCCCCCCGCCCCATATTAAGGAATCCTGGGCTCCATCAGGTTTATTCTAGGGAGAAAGCAAAGTCCCAAGTCCAGACAGGAGCCATGAGCTACAGCCAGGAATGAGGGAGAAGCAGAACAAAGTGACCTTGATCTCCACAGTCAACTTAAGCCACACTGCCGGATTCGAAGCAGGCCCCAAACACGGGCAGCCACAACCAGATGCCTCGGGAACCAAGGTGTGGCTGATGAGGGCTTGATGAGAGGGGTTGAGCAAGGGGAGAGTCCAGGCTCCGGCATCAGATAGACCTGGTTTGGAATTCTTGCTCTGCACTGTGTGACCTTGAGCAAGTTGCTTAAATTCTCTGAGCATCAGCTTTCCGGGGATAATAACTGCATTGATTGTACAGGGTTGTTGAGAAGATTAAGTGAGATGATGTTTGTGGAGGGGCCTGGCTCACACACAGTAGGTCCACATTATAATGAAAACCAACCCAATCCATCTGTCTCTCCTCATCCTGCCATCTCTCAGTTCTTGTCATCCCTTCCCCTGGGCACAGGCAGGTTAATAACTTACCGAGTGCTCAGAAGGGCTTAGGGATTGATGGGGCACCGTGACAGGCAGCTCCTGGCACAGCAGTCCTGTGGCCACAGGGCAAGGACTCCCTGCAAAGCCACTGACTCCGAGCTGACTCTCCCAGAGGATCTTGCTTGCGGGACATAATTTATTTTCAACATTTTATGTTTTATTTCCCCTTCCCTACTGCGATAAACTCCCCACCTTTGGCACAGAGAATTCTAATCGGGGAAAAGGCCTCCTCCGGTCTCACTGAATCAGATTTCCTGCTCTTGTCCTGCTGGGCTCACTGTCTCCCTGGCAGGGAGCTGGATTCCGAGCTGCTGCAGCACAGGCCTTGGAAGGAAGGCTGTTTTAGGCTCTGGTCAGTCCTCTGGCAGAGCCCCTGCTGTCACACTGTGAATGCAGACAGACTTGGGGACGTGGGAGGCCTGTCACTCACACACGCACACACGGGCACCGCAGGGCACAGCTGCCCCTTTGTGGTTTCTCCCGCTCTGTGAACGGATGGGCTGCTCACAGCACGAGGAGTGCAGAGCTGCCTACACCCTGTCCCATGATTCACCCTTTCGTGAACTCACTCACCACTCGGTCGTCCCCCAATTCTCACTGAGCAATTCACCTGTGCCAGGCCCCATGGGTGCGAGGACAGAGAGATGAGGGACAGTAGGTCAGGCATAGGGACAGTGCTGCCCAGAGCAGGGAGGGCATGGCTCTGCCTGGAGGAGCAAAGAAGGGCTTTTTTGGGGAAGGGGTGCTTGAGGCGGACCTGAGCGGATGATGGAATTTTGTCAAGTGGAACAGAAGAGTAAGGACACCCTGGCTGTGGGGACGGTAGGAGTCGATTCACCTCTGGGTTCTTCCACCGCCAGATGCCCATAAAGAGCGGTGATGTTGTGCTGGGGACTAGAGAGAGGAAGGGATGTTGCCCAGTCTTGTAGGGCGGGAAGAAACTGTCCAGAAGTGGAGGATGGCAAGTACCTCCAGCCCAGAAGACCCAGCTATGGGCAGGGGGCTTGGGCAGGGGGCTTGGGCAGGGGGACTTCTGGCAGGACGCTGAAGGATGGGTAAATTCTTCTAAGGATGGTCTGTGACCAGGGAGGGAATCCTGAAGAGGGACCCACATTCCCACCTATCTCAGTCCTTGCTGATGTTTTTTGACGCCCTCTGTGCCTCACAGACCAGTGGAGAAGAGTGACACGCGACCCAGGAATATGAGGGTCGTCGACGCAGTGGTGGAACTGGCATGGGGCAGGTTTGGGGGAGGCCAAGGACAAAGGAAGACATTGCAGTGAGGGAAGCTCGTGAAACCGGAAGGGTGAAGGGTAGATTCTGGGAGCTGCTAGAACAGGGGTGGTGCTTAGAAGGCACAGGTGTGGCTGAACAGAGTCTGGGGGGTCGGGGGGCACTCTGCCTAAAGGAAGGAGGACTCAACATAGCTCCCAACACACAGCCCGGCTCAGACCGCCCACCCTGCTGGACTCCACACTCATCCTCCGCCGGGCTCCAGCTGGCCAGCCCCATTTCCACTCCTCTGTGCATTCCACTAGGGTCTTTCTGGAGACTATACCTTGGGCCAAAGGACTGATCCAAAAGGCAAGAATCCTCTCCTCAACCAGTGGAGAAAGCAGTGGGGACTGCGTGGGCAGGTACAGGAATTCTGGGGCTTTAGCAGGAAGCCAGCTGCCCCCCATCCTAGAACGGGCTCGAGCTGTGGCCGTGTTAGGTCTCTCAGGTTCAGAACCATCCCCAGGTACCTGAGGCCGTCCTAGGAGAATGAGCTCTCAGCCTAGTCCTTGAAGATGCTGAAGAGCAAGGTGTTAATGAAACATTGCGTTTATCTGCACTACTCTCCAGCAAGGCAGTGACGAGGTGGTGGGCGCCCCTGAGCATGCTGGCAGGGAATCACTCCAAGGACCAAACTGGTTGGAGTTTATAACAAAGGAAAAGGGAACTCTGAGATGCCCTGTGGCAGGATCACACAGCACAGACCTGCGCCTTTCAGAACCACCAGATGGACTCCATCCGCAGGATTAAGTTAAACCACCCACTGCGGGACTGTGGGCTCCCTGAAGTCAGGGACCATGTTACTGTCACCCCTGTTTTCACAGGCATGGCACTGAGTAGGTACCAGTGATTGCTGGATGAGTGAGGGAGGGTCTTGGCTCTTTCTCCACCCCTGGGCCCTTGATCTCGGCTGACCTGTCACACTCCATGCCCAGAAGCGATCATAGGCAACTGTGCTCATTGCCATAACCTGCGACCTCTGGCCCTGACCTCCCTGCCATGCCCTGACCTGCCCTTATTCTTCAGTCCCCTCTCTATCTGGTGCCCTGGGTGACCTCTGACCTTGATTCTCAGCCATGCCTACTCTCTTGGTTTCATGATTCCCACAGCTCTGGGTGTAAACCTGTCTGCTATCAGACAAGAGAACAAAAGCTGGGCTAGCATCTCCTCTCTGGCCTCTGTGCACAGTTTTCAATCTGATCTGTTGCCCTTCTTTTAATAACTGTCTCCTGATTTCCTTTCTAGGAGCCACCCCTCCTTCACCTCTTAGGTATGTGTCTCAGGCAGGGCCTGCCCATGGTACACAGAGACTTGGCATGATGTTTGGTTCTGAGGTGGGTGTATGATCAAAGTTGGTTTAATGAGTGAATCCCATGCCTTGTGTGGAAGTCACCAGCAAGTGACACTCACTCTCCTGCTGGTCTCACACCTGGAGGGATGTAGTCTGAGGCCACTGCAGTCACCTTGCCACCAGAAGGGAGAGCAGTGACACTCACTCTCCTGCTGGTCTCACACCTGGAGGAGGAATGTAGTCTGAGGCAACTGCAGTCACCTTGCCACCAGAAGGGAGAGTCTGCCTGTAGAGGCTCCAGTAGAGGAGGCAAAGCCAAGAAATGTAGCAAAAAACTGGGCCCGATTGACATAACTTGATACCTGAATCAAGCCATACATGAAGCCAACAATTTTTCTTTTGGATTTTATGTCTCTGCAACCCAAAGTACCCTAACTGACAGATTCCAAGTATAGGTCCTGCTTGTGGTCTTTGAGCTGGACTGGCTCCTGACACCCCCAATACTAGATTCTAGAATCTGTACTTCATCCTCTCTACCCACTGCCTCCACAGACGTGCCTCTCAGCAGTGAAATATTTGGGGGCATGGGGACTATGTTTGCTTTCTCTCTGTGAATGATCTGTGTGCGTCTGTGAGTGTGTGCTGGCGCGTGTGTAATTTTTTGGCCACACCACTTGAAGGCAAGTTTCAGACTCCATGGTATTTCACCCCTAAAATACTTCAGTGGGTACCTCTTAGGAATGAAGATAAATCCCTAACAACCATGATGTTAACAATACATCTATCATATCACCTAACATCCTAGTCCATCTTCACATCTTCCAAGTTCCCCAAGAATGTCTTAAAAAATCCAAATTAAGTCCATTCTTTGCATTGGTTATGTAGCTTAGTCTCTTTTACAGCTAAAAGCATTGCTTTATTTGATATAAGTGAGGGACGTCAAGCCTTTCTTCCCCTCAACTGCTCTCTTCCTGGCTCCCATCCTCCCTGGGTGCCCCATCCTGGGAGCATGGGGGTGCCCCAATCGTCCCTGCCCCTTTCCCCACCCCTCCTTTCCTGGGGTTTAGACCGTAAGAGCTCATAAAAACACAACGTAAAATGAGAGAGGCTCTAAATTCCTATAATACAAAGGTGTTCCCACTTGCAACATCTTTATTTGTGGAAAGAGATTTTGAAGTAGTTTTTGGCTACTAATGGAATAGTCATTCTTCTTCAAATGAACAGAATTATAAATATAGCAACTGAAATAAAACAAAAAAAAACCTTGCTGGACACATAGCAAGTACCTCATAACCAATCACTTATTAATCAATCTAAAAATCCACATCAATAATAAAATCCCAAGATGTTTACTGATTGCCAAGCCCTGAAGTGAACTTTCCAGAGGCTCATATTCTTATGGGAGATGACAAGCACTAAAGCAATAATTACAAGGCTGTGTGAGACGCAGAGTATGTGCCAACTTCCGGGGCTCTGCAGAGACAGGGGCACCCAGCTCCTCCCTGAAGCCTCTGCCTGGCGAGGGTGCTGCCGTGGGACTGTCCTGTGTCTCTGAGCTGGTGATGTGGCCCTGGCAGGTCCCTTCAGACCGTCCCCGAGCTCTAGTTTTGGGACCATAAAATGCCGGTAATGATCCCTTCCTTCAAGGGCTACAGCAGAGGGGACACATGTTTCCAGAGGATAATGTATACTGTTGGGGCTGAGTGTTTAGGTGATACATGGATAGACACTTAGGAAAAAATTTTTATATGTCTTAGAAAAAACTTGGACTAGTATATCAACCCTATGATTTTATCAACGTCATCGCTTAAGAGGAGGCTAAAGTATAGATGTCGGGTCTGAGTCTGTTTAAAGGAAAATATCAAATAAAAAAGTAGTACAGATGGTAGGAGAGAGTGGCAAAATTTCTGAAGTGGAACCCAAAAGATTGTTCTTTGAGAAGAATGTCAAGCCCCTAAAATTCATGCCTGCCAGTAGCAGGTGCTCTTGAAACGCTGTCTGTTCTGGTCAACGGCCCATCAAACCAGGGGAAGGACTGAAGGACAGCCTTGCTGGGGGCAAAGCTGGAAAGAGTTAAAAGAAAGGGCCTGCGTTTCCCGGCCCATCCCCCCAGCAGCTAATCTGTCAGCTAATGAAGAAGCAGTGGCGGCACAAGTGAGCTAGCAGGCAGTTCACTTACAGCAAACTGATTAGGAATGTTCAACCAACAGCAGACTGTGGACCTTTCCAGAGAAAATAAATAGAGTGTAGACTGTATGCAAATGTGTTTGTCACTTTGACAGCACGTCTCAATTAAGGCATCTCGCGGCTGCGGGTAGGCTCTGCGGTTGCAGCTGTAAGGGAGAGCCCGCTGCATGGCTGATACTCAGGGCTTGACCTTAATCCGCATGCATGCATTAAAAAAACCCCTGCCTTCCTGTACACTTGCATAATGCTGGCAGCCACGTGAGGGAGGTGACAAACGGGGAAAAAAGCCACTTTCATCCTCTCCAGTTTACAGACCTGTGAAGGCACAGACAGCTCTTATTTCAACAGAGTTTGGGGTGGCTTTTTTAATTGTTTGTCCCCCATCCGCGCACACACACACACTCTTATTCTGCATTTAGCTGGGAATGACATTAAAGCATCTCTACTTCTTCCTGAAATGGAAAGAAGGTCTCTCTCCATTTCAAACAGGGCCTCCTTTTTTGTGTTTCGAAAATGGAATGTTTAACACCATGAAATCCCTCTCCCCCGCCCCCTTTCTCTGTAATGGGCTCCAAACTCCAGCAAGGGGCTCTTTTCATGGGAAGGTTCGTGTGTGCAGGAATGAGGACAAAGGAAGGCAGGAAGCTGGCTCTGGAATGCCACGCTGGCGACAACGGCCGGCTTTCAGCAAACGGAGCCAGGGAACTGGGGCCTGAGCTGGGATGAGGCAGCTCTTCAGGGGTGCAAACATCAACGAAATGTGAAGAGAATTATTAAGCAAATGAGCTCTGCCCCATGGACACTTCTTTCTTATGCTATATTTAATTTTTTATAATATCCCTTTTAAGTGTAAAATCAGAAAAGGAGTGGCGAACCTCTCCAAGTTTAAGATGTATGAATATATTATCTAAAAACATTGATTACAGAGGAAGATTCTTATGTTTTAACAAACTCACACCTTACAATCATAACTCACAGCAACAATTAGTTCCCTTAATTTCTAAATAGCTCTATGCCAGGTACACAGTAGGCACTTGATAAATGTCTGTTAAAAACAAACATTTTAAATGTGTGCTTCTAGCTCCTTTATATGATAAAACAGCAATCATATTTAAAATAAAATCATAACGACTATTTAAATTATGCCTCATCTAATCAATGGCTAAAGAATCAGGTGATTTAAGATTAAATAACCTTGCAGATTCTTATTACAGTCATATCTTGTTAATGGAGCCATTTCTTAGAAACCAAAAAATTATGACTTTTGCTAATCAAGAGTAGTAGAGGGTACACAATCTTTTTCAACCAAAAATATAAGCACCGATAAGATATGGATAAAAAAAAATTTCAGTTCCTATACAGAGTATAATGTTTTACTTAAGAGAGAGAAAAAAATCAAACAGTGAAATTTTCAAATGCTCACTCAGGTCGCTGAAATAGTTGGCTACAGAATCGGGCCCCTAGAACAGTAGTGCAGTGTTTACTGTGAGAAGGAGGACTCCCGATATTGATTTTCAGGAAGTACATTAATAAAGAACTCCTAATTGATTTTTTTTAAGACTTCGCTTGTTGCCTTTCATTTGAAGGTGCAAAGAAGGGCCTGGGATGCTAAAGTGTTCTAATGAGATGCTTAGCTGACAGAGGCACCTTAAAAGAAGTGCCTGGGGTGGGAGGCGGCAGCTGCATTTAATGACTTCATTCCAGAGTTCAGCGAGTTTATGACCAGAGCCATGCTGTCTCCTCAAAGTTTTTGAAAATCCCCCTTCAAAACATGTTTGCTCCAAATAAACACTGGAAGATGTGCAAACTCCATGGGATTGTTTTAGCAAAGAGAGCTGAAACGAAAAAGCGCCGGCTGTATGCGCCACAGCTTCTGCTGAAAAGCAAAGCAAAACAAACCCAGACCAGTCAGAGGCCAGGGTACATACCTGTCCGAAGTGGACTGTGATTGGCCTTCGGTCTTCTCGGAGCTTGGGGTCCTTGGCCTCCACCAGTGGGGACGGCACAGTCTTTGGTAGCTGCTCTTCCAAAGTGGGGGCACAGCCATTCTCGGTGATGTCCTGCAGGGAGAAGCCAGCCAGGAGTTGGTGACGGGGTCTTGGCACCTGCCCTGAGCACAGGTGCTCCCTCCAACCTCAAGGCTCAGAGCCAGGCCATGGAACTCCCTCTGGGTCACTTAGAGCCCATCTTCCTGCTAGCGATGAAGGAACTGGAAGGCTAACTTGGCTGTTTGACTTTTAAGGGCTAGAGAAACCCAAACCATGGACATTAAATTACAAAGACAACATAGTAATTCACAAACTGCGGGGAGGAAACCTTTCATTCTACTACTTTACAGGGCTGTTTTCATTTTTACATATTAACGTTGCCCTCATGCAGACATTTAAAAATTACTTGCAATCACAGCTCGTGCATAACTTCACATTCTATTTTTCCTCCTATATCATAAGCATCTCCATGGTGTTGCATAGTCATTATAAGGATAATTTTAATGGATACATGCTATTTCATTGAATGACCATACGGTTATTTAATAAACCATCCTACTACATCAAACAT